TCAAATGTAGCAACAATAAAAGTAGTGAACAGAATCCACAGAAGTACAGGAAGACGGCAGAGAGAAAAAAAAAAAAGGAAAAAACCTATTACAGCATGAAAGTAAGATGAAACTGAAGTGCTCTTGACACAAAGCAAACTCTCTGAAATTACTGCACAGCATCTCTAGCAGCTCCTAAGGAGCTGGCCAGAACTAACCTCAACTTTTTTCACCCCTGACATTTAAAAGTCAGCCTTTATTCCAACTATGAATGTTTTTGTATATTAAAAGAACAGTGTAATCAGTATAACATTTTACCCTCCTCCTTATGCTTTAACATTCTTGTGAAAGAGGTGAGGCAAACAAGATTCGCACATACATATATACATATGTATATATTCTGTGTCTGTGACAGAGTGTTACAGTTCCAAAAATACTAACAGTTGGGACAAAATGGTAAGATTATTTTTGGCAGGCACTATATTTTAGAATTATACAATGGCACAAAAGCTCATCGATGCTTGGGAAATGCCAGAGCAGCTGGAATACTATCAAAGTTCTGATACCTAAAACATAACGAAATTTGGTGACATCTCTGCGATGTGAGATCCCAACTGGATAAACACATGATTTGAATCCCGTCAAGGAATAATGTGACTGTGTTGCATACTATAACATGGGCTCTGGAGCTCTGTATGCTATGATGATGTAAAACAGTTCCAAGAAACACAAATAAGCCTCCAAGAGTATCAAAAGTCTTAATCATTTCTTCACCGAATTTCTGTGGTATTACAACCACCACGGTTCTGTAGCCTAGCTGGACAGTTACACTGGTGTTATCCACTCTTTTACAGAACACAACAACTCAGACAAATTTTTCAGGAAGCTGTGGACCTCAGGTGTATTTTGATTTATAACTTTAAATGAGCTTGCAGCTGGTTTATGAGATCTACTGGACTGGCATAATTCCTGTGGAATATGGCAAGCTCTCGGAATGAAGAAGACTAAAGAGTAAACTCTGATCCTAGTAGTGACCAAAAATGTTCCAACCTGGAACGTGAAGTAACACTAAGAGATGAACCAAAAAGAGCACCTTGAAGGCAACAATCCATCTTATGGCTCTGATGAAGAAATGACAAATAGTTTTACCACTAAATGCAAATGGACAGACCTCTTGACACAAAGGGGATCAAAATAAGCTGATACTTCTCTTTTTAATTTGGAGTAGAAATGAAATGCCTAGTTTCTGATTTCTCAGGGTACATTTTACTCTTCTGTCATCTACGTGAACATTCAGATGTTGCTTCGTAGGTACCTTGTTAAGAAGTCAGTGATGAGAAAGGTAATGCAAAAGTACAAATTCCCTAAAACTACCTGTAATATTCACTGCCCATACTTTCTCACTAGGAGCTGTGTAAGGGTCCTTTCGTTTAGTAACTTATGCTTCATTTCTTCCCTTGGATTTCACACAACCAAGTTGTGCAGTGCAAAAAACTGACCTCTGCTTCTTCCTTCAGACTGGAATGTATGAGCTCACTGAATACAGAGGAGCTCCAAAGTCTCAGTGAACAAAGAGTTCCATTAGCCTTTGAACTGAAGGAGTATTGACCTTTAAATTAAGTATCTTTTATGGCTTAAACCCTAATCCTGACAGTTATCTTCATCAGCCACAGTCTTAAGGCCATGGATGTGCCTAAAAATCCAAAACCATGTGCAGGTACACGCCATGCATGGCAGCATGGCACAGAGATTTGGGCTATCAGCTGCCTCTCACCATATAGATTTTACGTCTTCCCATGACTCCGTGAAAATCTTTTTATAAGTAGACAACTTGCTTTATTAAAGTTAGCCTTACCTTGACAGAAGCAAACGGCGAGTGTCAACACACATTTAGAGAATGGCGGTGAAGCAGACCCTGCCAAACAAATCCTCGCTTACTGTACCTGCTGACTAGTGCAAAGCAAGCCCTAGAAAGAATCACTGCAATCCTAAAGTGGCAAAAAATGACAATATAGTTCTGTTATCAAAAAAATTCTTGTTCAATGTTATTCCCAGTTTGCAAGGAAAAAAAAGAGTGCAGAACATTTAACACACTATCCGGCTTTCTGGCCACAGTTTCCAGGAGGAACCGAAAAATCTCAACTTCATGCAATTTTTTCAGGTTTTGAAATGCCCTGGAGCTATCCTGTGGACTGCCTTATGATCTAGTATGCTTTCTCAGACATCTAAATCACTCTAATTATTCCTCCATTGCTGCCTGCTGTTCCTCCTCTTCCTTGTGAAAAAAAAAGATCTAACAGAAGAAGACAACAACAGAACAGTAGAAGATATTGCATATGAATACATGTCCTGAGCTGGTCAGGACTGACAAATGTATAATAATGAAGTAGACAGAATAAAAAATTACTGAGGAATGTTACCTTTCATCCCTCCACCATTTCCCACTGAAATGGTGGTGTCAAGACTCTCCCAGATTCTTGATGTGAAAGTCCTGAACAGAAATGGAGTGAGCCCATGAAAGGCTCCGTGCCAGTACAACGCACAGCAGTAAGACTATTAATTTTAATTTGCCATTAAGTTCTTGCACATAAATAGAAAACAGACGATATCGATGCCTCAACTGCTGCATTTCACATCATGTTGTCACTAACTGAATGCCTTATCAGCACTGTGAATGTTGTGTGAACTCACAAAGGAAACTGGGATCCTGGATCCATTGCACTATCCAGATGCACTATGAAGACAAAAGCGCGACACTGATCTAAAATCTGAAAACATGCATACCAAAACCAAATCAGTCAATGGGCTTAAGTAGTACTGCACAGTCTCTTGTTATAATTTTTATCTTAGACTAGTAGGTTCTTTCTTCATATGGAGTTTAAGTAACGTTCCTTAATATGTAAGGGAAATACAGGTTTCATTTCTGGAACATGAGGAATAGAATTTTCTACAGAGAACCTATCTGAGGACATCAGACAGGCCTGGACTGTAGAGAACCACTAGCATTCATTGCTTACTATAACAAAAAGGGACCTGCAGTTACAGGGAAGAGGAGTGCAACATAGTAGTTATTTCACATCTGATTCACATCAGCCTGGACAACTAAAATTTGAATCTGTAAAAATACTTGACAAAAAAATTTAGAACTTAAAAAAACTAAGCTATAGAAAACAATATCTGTAAAAAAAAAGCACTGTCTTTTTTCCAATTTAATTTCTAATCACTTCAGCCCTAAAGGTAATAGTTTTGCATAAAAATATTGGCTCCTATAGAGCTGATATCTGGCTCCTATAGAACCAGAAAATTATTGCAGTAAGTTGAAAGAATGCTTAGGACTGCATTTCTTACAGGAAAAAATAATACTCTAGACTTTGCATCTTGTTGGTCAGATGCTGTCTTTCCAGGTAATATGATTCCATATTTTAGTAAATTGCCAGCTACTTATGACTTCATATTAAGGCTGCATACCAATACAGGTTAAAATTGAGCATAAATTCCTGTCTTAATCTAACACAGAGATCCCTCTGAATATCCACTGTTGCCTTCTAGTTTATCTTTTAATTTTAAGGACTTTTTAACAAAAACTTAGAAAGTAATGAAAATACTATTTCCCATCAACAACACCACTTCTCATTGTTAGCAATTTCTTGCAAAGCACTATGTACCGGAAAAGAGGAGAACATGTCGATAACTTGTGTACTGGCACTTTATTCTACCAAAGAGAAAGGCTCTGTGCAAGGCTTTATATCTAGTGGCCAAGAACTCTACTCCTCCTTCCTTGACTTCACATATATACATCTTCTCTGAGAAGTACCAAGGCAAAATGTGAGTCTTGCACAATGTATCTCCATTATTCTTCAGAGTGCAGGCATCTAGTTTATGAGACTGACTACTGCCAGGTAACAGCAGATGAACTGTCACTGTCATTGCCCAAAGTAACAGCAGGCACCATTGGCCTTGCTTAGATTACTTCTGTGTGTACAACTATTTCCTTCCCGATCACCTTCCTAGTCATAGTTATGATTGTTGGGAAGAATACTGTAGTGTAAGACCACATTAACTACACGGTCAGAAAGAGTCTGCAAGGAAGAACAAAACTTTAGTTAAATATTTCTGCCACTTACATCAATACAAAATGGCTTTTAATTCAATGGTGTTCCATCCCAAGTCAAACATGCTTTCTATTTTTACCACTACAGTGAATGATAATGAAATACTTCCAAACTAACAATACACGTTTCTAAAATATCAGTCGTCCCTTCCTTTTTTCTCTTCTAAAAGGCAGTGAGTGATTTTTACCTTTAAAAAACCAGTGACAATTGTTTATTCAGTTAATTCAACATGGCACTGGAATGCCTCACTACCTTCATGTTCATTCAGTTGGTTATCAACTGATTCTTAGCCTGTGTAACTTGGAAAAGCACTGTGACAAATGACATTATTAACCCTTTTACAGCACCAGAACACAGTATAAACTGAACCATCTCTTCTAGAAACACCATTTCCAAATATTAGAAACTAAAAAATTACCAGGGATGTGCTGTTCATTCAAACTAGAAAAAGAATTTAAATAAAGCCTATTTTTTATCTCCACCTACTGGCAAGTTTTCATGGTATGGCTTCCCTGTGAGAGCCTGATTTCCAAGAAAAGTATCAAAAAGATAAAACAGTGGGAAAGAAAGTGAAAAGTCAAACCAAATAGCAACAAAAAAAATCGCGGTAATAAATACGAAAGCAACTTCCAGCCAAGACCATTCCATGAACTATGTGACTATGAACTAGGACAAAATATAAAGCATAGGTGCTGAGAGGGAGAAGAAAGGACATGATAATCGAGAAAGGAACAGACAATTCAGGAATACATTTTAGGTCTCTAATGAATTTACATGATACAAATGAATGTTAATACTAGATTAGATTATTTACACAAAAGAATCATACTATTTTTATTTTGTATTTATGCTTACCTCACCTATTTTCACACAACTTTATGTTTTATTTTTTTAGTTATCCAAATTTACCAGATTCCATGGTCATCTGAAGTAATCCGTCAAGAGCACTGGAAAGCAGACCTCTACTGGATACTTTTAAGTGACTTAAAACAACAGGCACACATTGGTATTCCAAAAATAAGGCCTTCCCTTCATCTGTCTTCAAGTCTACACGAAGAGAATCAAATGCCTGAGCCAGGTAATCCACTGAAAGATATCAGAATACATGCAGTCAAACTTCTATAATCAGAGTTCCATTAAGCAGTACGTGAACAACTATCCTGACAGTTACTGTTGCAGACGTATACTTAAAAGGTAAGTGGCTGAAAATACTGAATTTTATTTTTATTTAAAGACATCCTCTGCCTTTTTTTACTCAACTTTTTGCTGTGAATGCGGAAGAAGATCCACTGCAACTCCTATGTTGAAGAAAAACATACTTCCAAATATGAAGCCCTTCTAATACTTTTAAGAGGAAAGAAATTACAGACTTGCACAGTTTGAAACAATGTTGGTTTTAACATCTGGGAAACCTCTATTAAGGAGTCAGGGGCTGATGTGTCTGAATAAGAGGAATTACTTCCCTGAGAGCAACTACTCCCATTCCTTTTTACAAAAAGCTGTAATTTAAATTTCAGTGCATACATTTTATATACGCATCCACTGTGAAGTGCACTAAATTATTCAAAAAGTGTAGATTAAATGAACCAATCTAATTTTCTTAATTTCCTGATGTCAAATCTTTCTCAGTATCTTGGAACAGCATTGATCATCTGGAGCACAGAAAATTAAGTACAGGGAAACAATTTCTCCCATAGCAAAAATGTAACTACAATGCCATCTGCTGGATACTGACATTTTGAAGATAGGTTCAAATCAAATGTGCTACTTTATCACTAGATCACTGACACCATGTGGTCAGAGTGATCAAAACTCATACAGAGTGATATTCGACATATGTTTAACAGCAGATCATATTTTCTGTGCTGTAGAAGCCAGTTGTGAAAAGCAACCATGAGAAGCTAAATTAATTTATTCTAATCAAGAGCATTCATCTTTGGGTACGTAACTCTCCGCAATAACTATTTTTTGTATTGCAATTCTTTTTACAACATTGTTATTAAACACTTCTAGAAATGCGAGTCTCAATTTAAGAGTAGTTATTATGCTTCACCAAAATATCTCAAGTGAAATAGTTCTGTCTGGCAGCTGAAATACTGTGTTTGTTCATTAATGATGCCAGGGTGGTCTTCTATCATGTTCAAATCATGTGTATACTGTAAATACTCACGATATAAACACTGCACAGGTCAGTTAAGTATAAAGACATACTAATTTGCTTAACCATCTTAATCCAGAAGAATGACTTCCATGAACAAGAACATTTCTCTTTATCTATGGATTTAAAATCTTTGGCATCGCTGTTTAACATCGATCAGGTCGTTAGAGGTTGCAGCAATTTTGTGATGTGGATCTCTGATGTCTAAGAAAATTCATAACATATTTCTTACAAGGGACTCAAAAAAATTAGGCATCTGATTCTGACATTCTCGCACGATTTTTCAGGATTACATTGAAAATAAACATCTCTGTAACTTCTCCATCTATTTTTGTCACTATGAGAGGGGATACGTTACTAGTAAAGACATTTTAAAATACAAACCATTCTAAGAACAAAAGATAGCAAAAATAGAATCATGAAATAATTTAGGTTGGAATCCCGTCCAAGCCTCCTGCCCAAGGCAGGAACACCTCTGAAGTTAGGTTAGGTTGCTCAGTCATAACCCCATTGCACAATCAACTGCTATCAGAATGATCCGTGCTTTTAACATGTCTTTGAAAAGCGAAAAATAAGCCGGTAATATCATAAAGAGTTGGAAAAGTGTTATAGGTATGTACATTCTTATGCCATCCTTGTAACTTATTCTTGCAGAAAATCCCAGTTATGCCACACCACAGTACCCCTAAGGTGGTGCAAGTAGGCAGTAACCACCTCCTACATCTGCTCTTCATGGTGCACAGTGTTTTCTGCGCAGCTTCCATAAAAAGGGTCTGCAACACAGCTTGCTCCCTATTCCCCTTGAAAAGAAAAAAGGCTTCATAACTGAAGGCAGCAGTTAACAAATCAGGTAAGAGAACAGCTACTCTATTCCTTGAGATATATTTTCCACAATTTTTCTCACTCTGTCCAGATACAATCTGAATCTTGCTAACTTTTAGTGTCTACTTTGAAATCTTTACCTTCTCCCTCTCCCATGAGGCTGGGAAGACCCAACTTCCTCTATTTTTTTTTTCCAACACAAAATTATATAGGTTTTAAGTAGGGAATCCTCCTTAACACTACTGTTGTACATATCTGTTAGTGTGAATGGAGGGAGGATCCTGGGAACTAACTGGAAATAGGAAAAAAGCTCCCAGGGAAAGGAAAGCCACTCACCCTACACAACCCCCCCGGCTTCTTTTTGGTTAACAAAAGGTATAAGTGTGAGCTGAAAATGATGTAGCTGTTTCAGATATAATAATCCCCTAAGCGGCATTAAAGGCTGTCTGGACTACGTCGTTTAAGAGAATATTAGAATTTTTCATATTTTTTTCCCAAAGAAATAAATATACAAAAAATGAAGTATTTATATATTCAGAAGCTCGACTTCATAATATGTGGCAATTATATTGCATTTAGGATTCAGAGGGAAGCCATCAACTCTGCTGCTTTTATGCCGATTGACTCTTCTTGCATAGGTGAAAAAAATTGCTTCACAGCAACCACTGAAGCCATTATTGAATTAAAACAATTAAGTCAAAAGAGAAAGCTAGTAATAGAAGTCAAAATAAGATTTGCTTTTGGATTGCTCATCAAATCTGCAGTTTTACAAATCAAGAACTGTCAAGTATAATCCAGATAATGCACTACTGTTGAAGTTTTCAAACAAGTCACCGATAACTTAGAAATAGGTAAAAAAAATTAATTTAAATGTAAAGTTAATCTGTAAGAAAATTTTAAAATGTGTCTATAAATAAGATTGATTGAAGGTTTGTCTTCACTGGGTTCTGACAGAAAAGTGTACACCAATCTCCACGTCAAAAGGCCAAGGAAAGAAAGTTTTAAAAATGTGAGTTTGTGCTTCTTCTAATAGTGTGCTCAACACCCGAAGCTCACAAGAAACAGTCTGGTTTTGGCATTACTTTAAAGAAAACATTTTAGTCTTTTCAGATCATATCTGTTTTCAAAGATGACCTCACTGAAAAGATTTGACACAGCAGCTTGAAAACTGGACAAGTGCAGCAACCTGTCATGATCTGAAACAGATTACACTGTTTTCAGGGCTGTATTATCTCCTGATATGTATTATCTCCTGATATCACCTTGTTTGCTTTTGCCTTCTTAACAAAGTATGTTACTATACCACATCAACATAGGAATTTTGGAAGATGTTAGATAAAAAAGCCCCTTTTCATACTAGGCAGGTGATTCTGAAGTCTGAAACATTTTTACGTTAACAGAACACGGTGCTTTTGTAAATGAGTCTATTTAATAGAGAAATGGGAATGGACAACCATATCAAGAACTGGTCCTAAACTGCTAAATTTTTTGATGTTTGAGAATGTTTTACACAGTGTAAAGAGAGTAACAGCAGGCAGGTAAGGGCTGCAGTCTGAACTGTATACTAAACTTAGACCAAGGGACAAAGCAGTTTCAGGACATACATTGTATCACAATTGAGTCTTACAAATAAGAGTCCACTACACAAGTGGCTTTGTCTATGATATATCAGAAACATCTATGAACATCACACTTAGCTGTAAAGATGAATGCAGCTAAGTTGTAACTAACTATGCCAGAAAACAAACACTTGACACTGCAGCCAACCAGCCTTTCGTGAGATTGGTAAACAACCTACTAACTTAAACAGGGCAGTGACATTCCAGAACTGTGCAAAATCTGCTGCTTCTTTCAGTTTATAAACTAGCTGGGCTATTCTGTGCAGTAAAGATCTTGGCAATCCAGTCATTGGTGTCATGACAGTTTGACACAACTATCAACATCATAGAATCATAGAATGGCCTAGGCGGGAAGGGACCTTAGAGATCATTTTAATCCAGCCTCCCTGCCGCCAGGGATGCCACCTCTCGACTAGATCAGGCAACACATGGGGACCAAACTGGAATCGAACCCATGACCTTAGTGTTGTTAGAGTTACACTCTACTGACTGAGCTAATCGGCCCCCCTAGAGATCATTTAATCCAACCTCCCTGTCATGGGCAGGGACACTACATCTCGACTAGACTAGGCAACACATGGGGACTGAGCAGGAATCAAACTCGCGACCTCAGTGTTGGCACTGTTGGCAGCACCGCGCTCAACCCACTGAGCTAACCAGCCCCCAGCTATCTTTTTAAGAAATGTCGATTTGTCTGGCAAGAAGTCATCCTATTAAAAGGAACACAAATTCCAACACAAAATGAGTAACAGCAAGTTTCTTACTTGTTTCCAGTATGTTTTGCTTCATAAGGTAGTAAAACTCAAGTAAAAACACTTTTCACTAATAAAGCATAATAGACTGTACGGTATCACTGTAATGTTTTTTGTTCAGGCACATGACAAATAAACATATAAATGTTGTAAAAATCAGAACTTACCTTGTGTCACGGTTTTAAGCACTATTAAGGTTGACAGAAACCTCAAAGGCATGCAAGAACTCTTAAAGAAAGCTGCTGACTTCGATTTTTTTTCTGCTGACTGTTCAGAAGAACTATGTGGGTTTCCCTTACGTACTATGCCTCTGAAAACATCTTCACCAAGTCTCCTCATTGTTGATGCCATTGTTGCATGCTGTCACAAACAAGGCACAGTTAGTGCAAACATTAAACCATACTACAATTCTGTGTACTATACAGAGACTGATATGTTCCTTTGGTTATTAAATATTAAATAGCAAATGGTTTGACCACGTATTGGAATATAAACTGTATGGGAGAGATCACTTCGTGTTTCAAAAGCAGTTGAATAACATGATCACTGTGCCTTATCAATGCATATTTCACAAAGAGACTAGCTAGTGAGGGCCCCTGAGCTGCTGACATTAAGTTGCAGCTCAGCTTCAGTCACCTCTATTTTGTGAGGTTGCCTGAAGTTATATCCTGTAAAAGCATTTAATAGGACCAAGGTCTAAACATGAACCTTAATAATACTGTACAGGTAAGATCTATTGGACTTTTCATCATAAACTATATAAAAATATTACTTCAGAATCTGACTTCACAAAATGGTAATTTAAAATATAGTTTCTTATTAGCACTAAACCCAACAGCTTACTATTCTATTAAATTTAAACTTAAGATATTTACAAAGTTTCCTACCTTCTCCTTTAGCAAAAGCCCTACCGACAGTACTATACGTTATGCTGAGACTTTATAGCACGCCTACTGTCTTTTCCTTTATTATACTGCTAAATATTTTCTTACAGCAGTCTAGTCAAAAGGAGTAAGGCATGTCTCATGGTTCACAGAATCACAGAATGTTTGGGTTGGAAGGGACCTCTAGAGATCATCCAGTCCAGCCCCCCTGCCAGAGCAGGATCACCTACAGTAGGTCACACAGGAACGCGTCCAGAGGGGTTTTGAATGTCACCAGAGAAGGAGACTCCACAACCTCCCTGGGCAGCCTGTGCCAATGCTCCATCACCCTCACAGTGAAAAAGTTTTTTCTAATATTTTTGTGGAACCTCCTATGTTCCAGCTTATTCTGTTGCCCTTGTCCTATCACTGAACATCACTGAAAAGAGCCTGGCTCTGTCCTCCTGACACTCCCTCTTTACATATTTACAAACATTAATGAGGTCACCCCTCAGTCTCTTCTCCAAGAAACCCAGCTCCTTCAGCCTTTCCTCACAAGGGAGATGTTCCACTCCCTTCATCATCTTCGTGGCTCTGCGCTGGACTCTCTCAAGCAGTTCCCTGTCTCTCTTGAGCTGAGGGGCCCAGAATTGGACACAATATTCCAGATGTGGCCTCACCAGGGCAGAGCAGAGGGGCAGGAGGACCTCTCTCAACCTACTAGCTACTCCCCTTCTAACACACCCCAGGATGCCATTGGCCTTCTTGACCACGAGGGCACATTCCTGGCTCATGGTCATCCTGCTGCCCACTAGAACCCCCAGGTCCCTTTTCCCTAGGCTGCTGTTCAATGGGTCAGCCTCCAACCTATACTGGCACGTGGGTCCATGGTTAGACACTTAGCAGAGAATAGAAAAATCAAAATTCCTTCACTGCTTCCCACACACTTATATTAATTTCAAAAAATCTCAGACATGAAGTGAAGGTAAAAATACTGCATTTTCTAGTGCAAAAGTTTTGTAAACATATATGTAAAAATATAACTACTGAGATGCTCAGACACCACAACGGAGATTACATACTTATGAAAACTCTGCCTAGACACACAATGCAAAATTTAAAATCAACTTGAAAAATAATTCATCTGTGGTAAACACTACGAATTTATGCATTGCAAAGACAGCAGTTTAGTTTATACATTCTACCTGAAGATACACTTTTCTAAGACAGAAAATCTATTAATATCTTCTGTGAATTAAGGTGTTTTTTAAAAAAAATACTGCCAGAGGACTACTTGTTTTACCTGAATACCAGTGTCTAGCTGTCTTATAGACCAGTAAATAAATTTAATCACAGGCACGTGCAGTTTAGGATTCACAAATGGCATCCACTGCAGCTGCTCAGCAGCTATAGGCAAAAGCTGTAAAAATATACAAAAGTAAAATTACATGCAGCACATAAAACTACTGTATAAACTAACCATAAACGAAAAAGAAATAAACAAAACTCCCAACTTTCTACTGGAGTTTAGCAGGCTACTTATTCAGCCACTCACTGGGCAGATCCAGTACAAGTAACACACACACAGAGATTTTAAATTTTACAAAAGTTTACATGCAAAATGGAGACACATCATGCAAGCTCAGTCTCAATAAATCCAATCCCAATGGCTATAAATCTTTAATATAATGACAAAAAACAGAAAATTTTTTTTATGAACACCTCATTAATTTTCAAACCCTGGTATCCCCAGAAAGAATATAATAAAAGTCTTAAAAGTATAGCATAGCATCACCTTTTATCAGTCATAAACTGAAACTTTAATATCTAATATAGACATCAAAATATTTTAAATTAGCTACGAACATCTCCTTAGGAAAAAAAAGGAATTACACATAAAACACAAGACAAAATATCAACTGACAGAGGTGATTTGAAATAAAATGCTGAAACTCTCAAGTTGAAACTGAACACGACATTTTCCTTAAAGATCTCTCTATCTTTTACAAATGATGAATTATCTATTATATCTCACTGTCAGAATGAATACTGATTTATTAACAGTGATTTGAATTACTGCATCCAAAGCATGTATAAAATGGGCTGACCTGTTATATTCTTAAAGTCATTTTAAAAAACCCTACAAATTTGAAAACATATTAACATAAGGAAACAATTCAAACCCCTTTACCTTCATACACCTTTCCTGGGTGCAGGTTTTTTCGGAGGTCTGGGTAACCAGTTTATGACTGTTCTCTTTTCCTTCTTGTACTTTTACTTTGCTAAGGTGCTGTTCTGAGATCCAATCCATAAGAAAAGTTAAGAGCTCATAAACTTGTGAATTCAACGGTAGCTGTAATACATCCACAACATCAGATATATCAGCTTGAAAGTTAACAACTTTTCTAAGGCAAAATAACAACAGATTCATAGAATCACAGAATCACAGAATGGCCTAGGCTGGAAGGGACCTTAGAGATCATTTAATCCAACCTCCCTGTCATGGGCAGGGACACCACCTCTCGACTAGACCTGATAACACATGGGGACCGAGCAGGAATTGAACCCACGACCTCGGTGTTTGAAACATATAAGCACATTAGTTCTGAAATACTATATGTAATTTAAAGGATGACAAATATATATCCGACAAAATCTAGGAGGCAAGGTACTGTACTGGGAGCCTGTAGAAAACATGATATTCAAGGAAATAGTGATCTTGAACAGGTCATGTCTGCTCTGTTGGCTCTTGCACCTAGGGTTTGAGAAACTTCTATGTTATTAAAATAACCTGTAACTTCAAATATCTTCAGGAAAGGTAAACTCTGTGTGGACCAAAGGGTGGAAGGTGTCCATTCTGACCTGGAGACCACTGTACACGGAGGAGTCAGAGACCCACACCCCAGGTACCCCGAGCAGCCAGCCTGTGCGGTGCCGCACGGGGCACCAGCTGCACGGTTTATCCCGTGCTTGGCTGCAGGATGAGCTCGGCCGCTCACTGCAACAGGAGCCTGCACGCAGCTCCCACTTGTTGCCGCTGATCACGCCTCCTGCCTGGCCTTGCCTTTATCTAAAAGGGCAACAAGAAGTTCTCCTGTGAATGTCCTTCAGCAACAAAGTTGTTTTCTTGCAGGAAACTTATATAGTAGCTTGAAGAGCCCAAACGGAGGAGCTTCTCTCCATGGACAGGACCTGCTCAGCACGCCCTGGGAAAAATCCATCAGGGCTCCATCCAGTGCCTCACAAACACAAGATTCCAAACACCAAGGGAAGCAATATTTACTCATTATCTGTATTCCTCTTCTTACTCTGTCTTATTAGAACCGTAGTTTTATTAAGCCATTTGTTGTCAGGCTTTTCTTACAGAGATCCAGAAATAACCCTGAATTGTTTCTCTCTTACACCTCACTCCCATCCCTACCGGAGCAGGTACTATTCCGGATGTTTTCTGGGTGTGAAAAAATACACAGATAATGAATTTTGTCCTCAGGCAAACAGTTGTATATAAGGCTTGGGAAAAGATTTTTCACATAGAGAATCACTCCATTTTATAATTTTGACCCAATGAGTTACAGGAGAAAGCAAATCTATAATGTCTTCTGCATGTGGAAATTCTTATTTCAATGTACTAGACCTCTTTTGCATTACTTCATACAATATACTATTGTTAAAACTTAACTGAGTGGAAAAAGAACAAAGACTTCATGAAATTGTCATTCTATCCCTGTACTACACTGCAATAAACTACTCTATGATCCAGAGGTATGTGAAAACAGGCTGCATGAACAGTTCATTAGTTTTCTTGCAGTCTACCGTCAGATGATTCTTCTCCTCTCCACTCAGAACTATAACTAGTGATACTGTTCATATTACACTTGCAATCAAAGTACACTTAAAACCTCTGTAAAGAGGGAATATGAGTATGACCTGGCAACGCGTGCTCAGAGCCCAGAAAGCCAGTCGCACCCTGGGGTGCATCCAAAGAAGAGTGGCCAGCAGATCCAAGGAGGTGATTTTCCCCCTCTACTCTGCTCTGGTGAGACCCCACCTGCAGTGCTGTGTTCAGCTCTGGGGACACCAACACAAAAAGGACATGGAGCTGGTAGGGCATGTTCAGGGAAGGGTCACAAAGATAATCAGGAGGTTGGAGCACCTCCTCTACTGAGGACAGGCTGAGAGAGTTGGGGTCATTCAGCCTGGAGAAGAGAAGGCTCCAAGGAGACCCAGTACCTGAAGAGGGCTTACACGAAAGAGGGGGAAAGACTCTTTATCAGGGAGTGTAGTGATAGGACAAGGGCTAACAGTTTCAAACTGAAAGAGGGTAGATTTAGATTAGATATTAGGAAGAAATTCTTTACCATGAAGGTAAAGCCCAGAGAAGCTGTGGATGCCGCCTTCCTGGAAGCGTCAAGGCCAGGCTGGATGGGGCTTGGAGCAACCTGGTCTAGTGGGAGAGAGGTGTCCCTGCCCATGGCAGGGGGTTGGAACTATATGGTCTTTAAGGTCCCTTCCAAGCTGAGTCATTCTTGATCCTATGATACGTTATACGTAGACAGCACAGTTTTAAGGCATCTGACATGGATTAATTAAGAAAGATAGAGCAAATATCTTCTTTTTCAGTTTAGCCTTGTGCTGGGGAAAATAATTACCAATTGGGAGATGTTGGCAGAATACTTCCAGGAGATGTGCTACTGAATGGAACAACATGGAGTTAGAAAACATTTAATTAAGTGATATAAAAAGACATTTTAAGGAAAACAAGGTGATCATTTTGGAACTCTGTATGAACACTGCATTTATTCTCTTTCTTTTTTTTTATTTCTCAAAAAAATAACAGCAATACAATCACTCCTGGCTTTGAAAATTAAAATTCTTCAGGTGACACTTCTGACTGACTACTTTTCAGCTGGTGTTATTCTTAAGAATAGTGCTGTACTGTAGCAGTAACCAGAATGAGTTTAAGATTTGCTCTGCCACAGCAAAAGAAACCAGTTACAGTCTAAGTAGGTTATAAATTTAATTGGTAGATGAGAGATGTTGGGACAGGAAGAGGAAAACATACCATATAAATAAAAATATATACAGAGACTATACACATATACAATATAAAATCCAACTGACTTACTTATAGCAACAAGCTTAAGTCTCTGTTAACTGCCTGTTTTCGCCCAATATAATCTGTATCTTTTCTTACTGTAGCTAATTCACATATAAAATAAAATTGGAACTTACACTTCCCAGTTTCTAGCAGATACAGAGAATGTTCCACTGTCTCAAGTCTTTTGAATCAATCTTTCATTTTGCCCTATTCTTACCTTAGCAATCTGTGATGCTGCCATCGCTTTTTCCTGCTTGACAGGTTTACTTTGTTGCACCACTTGATATATATCCTTAGACTTCTGTACCATTAAAAATTCATGCTTCCTCTACAACAAGAAGTAACAATGAATTATATTTCAGTTGTTACTGATAAAGAAAGCAGGTATGTGTAAGAACAAACCTTACTTGTAGATTCTCTAAACGAGCTTGTACTTTTCTTGCTTGACCTTCCAACTTCTTGTTCAGCTCAGTTACACCATTTAACTGAAAGAACCAGAAAATATTAAAGTATTTGTAAATTCAACTCAATTATCACACCAAAATAATTTGATAAGCAGCTAAATAATTTAAGTTCAAGATTTTTCTTCTGGGCATGTAAAATGATAGGAACAAAATCATCATTCACCTCCTCAAGAAATCACAGAATCACAGATCATTTGAGGGTGACAGGCACCTCTGGAGGTAGTCTAGACGAAGCCCCCAGCTCAAGCAGGGCCACCAAGAGCTGTCTGCCCAGGACTATGCCCAGACAACTTTTGACTTTCTCCAAGGTGAGAGACTTCACCATCTCTCTGGGAAATTTATGCTCTCTGGGCAATTTATGTAAGACAGCTGTAGCCCTTTGTTGACCTGCATCCGAATCTTTCAGTTTTCAGGGGAAGAATAAGAACTGCAATGACACTCTAGATATACATGATGACTTTCCGTGATGAGGTGATACAAAAATGGAGTGCACATTTCAAAAATGGTCCAATAGTCTTGTTAATAGGAAAGGTGAAAATTTTCTTCTCTGCAGAATGAAACAGTTACTGACCATGCTACAAAATCAGTTTGCTGTGTGAGAATAGACAAGGGAAACTGAAACCTCCATTTCAATGTAAGTAGCATACTGCATGCCTACAACAACGAAGAGGACAATTAGCACAGAAGTCCTCAGTTTGCACAAAAATGCAAAGACTTTATAGTGAGGGGAAACAGACGGATGGGTTGCACCAGAACCATCAACATTCTAAGAGTTAGGTTGGATCTTCTCTACAAGAAAGAATAAGGCTCTGCTGTAGATTTTAATAATCCTCAGATGATCAGAACTCTAATTAATTCAGTGAACAAACAATGGTCAAATAGTTTAGATAGCGATTTGTGTGTCAGCAATTTAGGTCAGACTTAACAGTCAAATGAGATGAAAATTCTTATTCTCTTTATTACTATGAACCACATGAAGTTAGAAATACACATTCTACTTTTTATTTAATAAAATAATATCAGGAAAGGGAAGCAGAAAATGGTTGAGCAGGGAGCTTCTGAAAAAGCTCAAGTGGAAGAAGGAAGTTTACAGTACGTGGAAGAAGGGACCAACCACTTGGGAAGATTACAAGAATGCTGCCAGAGTACGCAGGGATGAAATAAGGAAAGCCAAGGCCTACTTGCAATTAAACCTGGCAAGGGACATCGAGATCAACAGGAAGGGTTTCTTCAAGTATATCAGAGGCAAAGGGGAAACCAGGGAAAATGTGGGCCTGCAGTTGAATGAGGCAGGTGCCCTGGTGACAGAGCCGGCAGAGAAGGCAGAG